CTCCCCTTCCCTTCCCAGGACGCTGCCACCCGCCCACGAGCTGGCGCACCTCGCTGACGTGTACACCTACACAACCGCCATCAGCCAGTGCTCGTCGCACCACCAGCTGCGGCGCGCACTCGAGCTCGTGTCGGAGATGCGCGCGCGCGCAGTGGCTCTGAACGTCCACACCTACAGGTGTGCGGCCGCGCCGCCGCGCGTCGCTACGCGCGCACACAGCGCGGACGCTCGTCCGTCCGCGGCGGAGGGCCTGGCCGACGCGTTGGAGCCTTTGGGCGCGGCCGGCGCCCCGACCGCTCCGTTTGAGACCACCACCCCTCAACCAGCGGCACCCCGCCCCTGTTCGCGCCCATGATCTGCACCCCCCCCAGCGCCCTGCTCAACGTGTGCCTGAAGAGCAACGAGCTGGACCTGGCGCTCGACATTTACCAGCAGGTGCGGCGTCCACCCCCCGCCACATCCGCGGCCGCGCGGCCGCCGCGATACCACCCAACCGCCCGCCAACCGCCGCCGCGCCGCCCCAGACCCGCGGCCCGGCTCCGCCCGCCCACTCCGCTGCGCTTGCCCCGCGTGCGCAGATGCTGTCTGAGGGCGTGACGCCCAACCTGGTGACGTTCAACACGCTTCTGGATGTGTACGCCAAGACGGGCCACTTTGCGGAGGCCCTGGGGGTGCTGGACCAGCTGGATATGCAGGTGTGTATGTGTTCGTGTGTGTGAGTATTCGTGTGTGTGAGTATTTGTGTATGTGAGTATGTGGATTGTTGGGTGGGTGCCAGGAGTGGTGCGGCGGCGACTGCGGCACAGCAGCGGCTGCTGCTGCGGTGCCGGCGGCAACATGCGCGTGCACATGTGAGCAGTAGCGGTGGAGAGTCGAGGGACCTGCAGGATGTGCGTCCGCCTGCTGCTGGAGCCGCCGCCCGCGGGCGCCTGTGCTGGCGCGAGGGGTGGGCACGGGCGTGCTGCAGCGCCGAGCGCCAGGTGGCGCGCGGCCGGCGCCGCCCTGCTGCGTGCTGGCCTGCCGGCGCACCTGCTGAGCTCTCTTCTCCCCCCCCCCCCCTTGCGCTGCCCTCGTGACTGCAGGGCATCTCCCCGGAGCCGCGCACCTACCACACCGTCGTCACGGCCTGCAACATGTGCGGCCGCTTCAGAGAGGTGCGAGCCCCCCCTGCAACCCCCCCCCCTCGCTTTGCGCCGCAGACCCACCCGCGCCCGAGCGAGGGGCGCCCGCGTGCTGCACCGCGTCGCGGCCTGGCGCGCCCTGGGTTTCGTAGCGGTCGGCTGCACCGGCCGTTCGCCTCTCAGCGCCCCCTCACCTTGCCCCCTCACCTTCCGCACACAACCCGCCTTCCCCCCAGGCGCTGACTGTGTACGAGCGCATGCTGTCCAAGGGCGTCGAGCCCATGCCCGCCACCTACAACGCCGCCGTCTGCGCGCTCGCGCGCCTCGGCCACCTGTCGGCGGCGCTGGCGCTGCTGGGCGCGGCCGCGGCCAAGGGCATAGACCGCTCCGTCGCGACCTACGCGGCGCTGCTCGCAGGCTGCGAGGAGCCCGGCAGGTGCGCGCCCCGCGCGCCGCACCTCTCCCCTCCACCCCGGCAGTGGCGCCGCTGCTCGCGCCGCGGCGACCGCGCTCCCCCGCAACCGTGCCGGGTCGCAACCGCCCGCTGACGGCCGCGCCTCGCCGCGCCGCGCCCTCTGACCCGGCCCTCCACATCGCCCCCATTCAACTCTCCCAACCCTCCAGGTGGGAGCTCGCGCTGGAGCTGCTGCAGCGCATGCAGGAGGAGGGGCTCAAGCCCACCACCGCCTGCTTCAACTCGGCCATCAACGCCTGCCTCAAGGGTGGGTCCGCCCCCGCGGCGGGGCCCCAGCGCCCCGCATCCTGCACTCTCCGCGCAGCCTGCGTGAGCGTGGGCAACTGGGAGCAGGTGCAGCCGCCGCCGCCGCCGCCCTGCATCGCTCAAAACATCATCGCCCCGCTCGGCGCCGCCCACCCATGCTCGTCCTTCCGCAGGCGGGCAGCCCCAGTACGGGGAGCTGCTGTTTGAGCGGCTCTACACCGTCTGCAAGCCGGACGCCGCCACATTCAACGCACTCGTCGGCATCTACTGCCAGGTGCGGCCCCCAGCCCCCGCCCGCGGCGCGGGCTCCACCCGCG